AAAAAAAAAAAAGATACAACAATATGACTTTGACTGATATTAGCATTATTTGTGTTTTCATGATTTCTAACGATATTGCTATATATCCAATAAATTATGTGAATTCTTTTGGATACAATAATCGTGTAGTGAAAATCTGATATTGTGACAAACCTAACATTGCCCTAGTAACCACCTAGAAACTATTTTGATGCCTATAGCAATTGCCTGACAACCACCTAGAAACCATCTAGAATAGGGTGACCATACGTGCCATTTTCCCCGGACGCGTCCTGGCCAGGATTTCTATATTGCTTTGATTCAAAGTACCTCGACAGCGTTTCGAAAACACAAGGAACCGATGTCATACACCGATCGGTCTGCACACGCAAACAAAGCCAAACCCTAGATATTTTAGGCAATATAGAAATCCTGGCCAGGACGCGTCCGGGGAAAATGGCACGTATGGTCACCCTAATCTAGAACACACTATTAACAACCTAGAAACCACCTTACCGAACAACAACAGCTAATTATCTAGCAAACATCCAGAGCATCCTAGGAGTTGGCAAAGAACTAGCTAGAACACATTAGCAACCACCCAGAAACACCCTAGTAATTGCTTAGCAACTACCTAGAAAAGCCTAGCAATCATCTGTAAGTGCCATATCAATGTGACATCTATTAGTTGTCAGTGCAACTAGCAGTTTCACTTTGTGTGATTTGTGTTGTCAGGGGAAATCAATGCTACTTTGGAGTTTTCTTGGCTTCCTGTTTCATTTCCTGTGACGACTGCCTCTTCAGGCATGACTGAAAGTGCCAGTGAAACCTGTTGAAGAGAACGTCACATCTATCTGATCTCTAGACATGATGCCAACACTATAGAAATGTTTGCCCTGTAACAGCGCATTTTATTACTTGAGGTAATGGCACCATTGCTCAGACGAAAAGAGCTAGTGTCTTCTCTTTGGTCTATTTCTGTGCAGCTGCCCAGATGTGTAGAAATTATACCCACAATCCCCTGCTGCCTTGCTTATTGCCTTGCTTATTTGTGGGTGTGACAACAATAACTGCTGAAAAGTTGGCTTGTACTAGTTTAAAAGTGCAGTTATGAGGGTTCCAAAATAACATTTTGTAGTTGTAAGATAAAAAAAAGACTTACCCCAGTGTCTCATATTATCTGTGGTAACTTGTTTTTTTTTGGGTGTAAGACCCATCTCTTTCTCACCCACCCACACTCGGTGAAATAGCACACGGTGGGCTTTAATAAATAAAAGGATAAAGCTGTGCAGATGATTAAATGGTGGTTTCAGTCGCACTAATACGAGGTGTTTGAGTAATGGCGTCCCGTCGTGAGCAGGTGGGAGCGGGTTGATGCAGAGCCAGCGCCTGGACACAGACCTTACGCGTGTGTTCATCCAAACCCAGCTGCTGGGAAACATTTATTACTGGCCTGTTGTTCCTGGACCTCTGCACCTGCTGTGAACAATGCCCCGTTCTCTCTCTTTTTCTCTGGCGACAAAATGAGAACAACAACTTCATTTCATGTTTATTTCACCTGATGCGGTGTTAATACATGAGTGCCAGATCAGTGGTGTCATCTTTTGTGGATGTTATTAATGAGAGCAGTTCTTTTTGTGGATTATCTGTGTTAAAATGATCTTTGTTAAATCTGGAAGTTACCAGTTCTGGTAGAGGTCTGCAGAGACATATTGACGGTGCAAGCCAGACAGTAAACAAGACCTTGCCACCGACCTGACCCAACCCAATTTTAAAATGGAGCACATTGTTCAATATAGTTGCTCAGTATTTATACACTGCTGTTAAAAAGTTTGGGATCAGTAAGTTTTTTTTTTTTTATTTATTTATTTTTTATATAAAGTCTGTTATGCTCAAGGTTGCATTTATTTGATCAAAAAAAAAAAAACTAATATTGTGAAATATTATTATATTTTAAAATAATGCAGAATAATGCTGAATTTTTATCATCCATTACTCCAGTCTTCATGCCACATGATCCTTCAGAAAGCATTAGATTTTTTTGTAACGTGATAGTTTTTCAGGAGTCTTTGATGAATAAAAATGAATGAATGAACGAACGAACAAACAAACATCTTTTCTAATATAAGTCTAATATAAGTCTTTACTATCACTTTTTTATAAATTTAACACATCCTTGCTGAATAAAAGTATTAATTTCTTTCAAAAAAGGAAGGGGAAAAAAATTAAACACCTTTAGTGTATATTCTATGGTAATATACGAATATATATCGTGCATATTCATTACCGTGATATATCGCATTACCGAATATATCACGGTAATGAATATGCACGTGATATATTCGTATATTCTTACAAAACAAATCTATTCAAAATCTGTTCTTTTTAACTTTTTATGCAAAAAAAAAACCTGAATAGAAATATATCACAATGAAATTCCAGTTTGCAAAAGGTAGAAATAAACATACCTTCTGGCATTAAAATGTTATGCTCAGTAGAAAGGACAAATGAAAACACAATGCTCAGTAAAATATATTTTGTGTAATATAGAACCTAATATAGTAACAATATTCTCAGTTTGAAAAAGACAGGTAGATGCCCATTCTCCTCATGTATGTGGCCATTATTATTAGACAGTAAGGGAACTGTTCTGATCCTGTGAAGCAGCTTGATATTTCTGCTGTTATACGGCTCAGTTATTCTGATCTAATGCCTAGTGACCTCTCAAGATTGCCGTTACATCACTTCTATTGCCCTTTTTATGTCTTTTATGTCTTTATAACGTTTTCTGGATCCCTTTGCTAATGGAAAAACAAATATATTAGGGAAATGATCAGATCTAAAAATTTATGCAACTTCCAATATGTTAATTTTAAGTTCTTATCAAGTAAACACGAACACTGTCAGGTACATTTTCTCATGAGATTAAACACGATACAGAACATGTGTGAAGGCAACAAAGAAAATCCAAGGAAAATATCCCTTGTGAAAATAATTTCCTTAGATTTTTATTTATGTATTTATTTATTTGCTTTGTCAAATTATGCAAGAATTTTTTTTTTTTAAATGTAATTTCTATATAGTTTTATGGTAACACTTTAGAATAGGGAACACATATTCACTGTTGATGAAGAGTTTCCCCTCAGTAAACTCAATAAACCAATTTGCTGCTTATTAATAGTTAGTAAGGTAGTTAAGATTAAGTATGGAGTAGGATTAAGGGATCTAAAATATGGGCATGCAGAATAAAGCATTAATATGTGCTTAATAATACTAATAAACAATACTAATAAGTACTAATAAACAGCCAATATGCTTGGAATATGCATGCTAATTAACAGCTAGCTAATAGTGAGAATGTTACCAATTTTATTAAACTAAATGCAAATTGAGATATGATTGAAATAAGTTGTTGGTTTAAAAAGTGGAAAATGATTTATGTATATGCACTGTGTGTGTATATATAT